TTCAGTTTGATGATAAAGGTAAACCTCTCTATTCACCTAGTCCTCATTTTCTAAGATACATTACTGAGAACAGGAACCTGGATATCTGTGTGTCTGATGATAGAGCTAAAGCAGTAGTGGTGGTCAATCAGGCCGGGAAACTGAGATTTAGGTACACTGGACATACTCCTGCTCCAATTAACGAATCATTCAATCCACTAGGAATCACCACAGACAGTCAGAGTCACATCCTTACTGTTGATTGTTACAATTACTGTGTCCACATCATAGACCAGGATGGACAGTTCCTCCGTTACATAGACTGTGGACTGAGTGATCCCCTGGGACTATGTACAGATACACATGATAATCTGTTTGTTGCTCAAAGATATATCAAACAAGTGAAGAAAATCAAATATCTGCAGTAAAATTCAAGATTGCACAGATTTAAATAATATAATATATATTTCTTCCTCCTCAAATTTATCATTATATCAGTTCACTGTGTAAACATTTATCCGTAAATAACATGACTTTATCTATTAATAGTATAACACAAAAACGACAAAAAATCATCTATGAAATCCATTGCTATAATATATATTTTATAAAGATGAGTTTGCAGTCATTATAATATTTTAATCAAACATTTTAAAAAAGTTTTTTGGGGGGTTTATTTGGTTTGTTTTTTCTTTCACCTTGTATAAAACATGCAAATTCAATGATTTTTTTTTTTTAACAAGAACGTTTTGTACAGAAAGAATGTATGCGAAACAAGCAAATTGAGAGATCTCTGGTCCCTAGCTTTCAGGCTCTTATTGGTTGTGGCATATAAGCAATTTTTCTGATATTTGTTTTTAACGTTATTGAACTACACGAATAAAGTATTTTTTTTTTTTAATTGAAATTTTGCTTACAATATTTTTCACTAATAGACTGGCATTACCAGTTTACTCTTGGGAAAGTAGACCCTCCAGATGTGACGGTCTACCATTGTGACCTTTACCAAAAGAGTAACATCATAGGGGACGACCATTTGATGGGAGGGGGGCTGACAAAATTTTTTGAGTCAGATTATTTATTTTCATGCCAGCCAAAAACAGATTATTTATTTTCAACTTTTCGACATGATCAAGGACAGATTATTTATTTTCTTCATCACTGAAAAAAGTCCGACAAGCCCCCCCCCCCAAAAAAGGGGGAGGGGAAGGGAAATGTAGAACCAGACAAGGGCAGATTATTTTCTTGCCAGATGAGGACAGATTATTTGTTTTCAACATTTTCAAGGACAAATTATTTATTTCCAAAATCTATCAGCCCTAATCTCAGAATCAAATGGTTATCCCCTAGAGTAATGTGTGTAGATGGAAGTTACAGTGTCATAAACTTGTTAAAAGCAACAGATCTATAAATATCCCCCCCCCCCCAAAAAAAAACAAGAGGCCCATGGGCCACATCGCTCACCTGAGTAACTTTGGCCATGCTGTTCATTACCAGACTTCCCCCCTTGTAATACCTATTGTGGCCCCACCCTCCCCCCAGGGGCCATGATTTGAACAATTTAGAATCTACACTACCCCCGGATGCTTCCACATAAGTTTCAGTTTTTCTGGTCCAGTGGTTCTTGAGAAGATTTTTAAAGATTTTTCCTATATATTTCAATGTAAAACTTGGGATTCCCCCTATTGTGGCCCCGCCCTATCCCCTGGGTCATGATTTGAACAATTTAGAGTGTACACTACTTGAGGATGCTTCCACATAAGTTTCAGCTTTTCTGGCTCAGTGGTTCTTGAGAAGAAGATTTTTCCTATATATATTTCAATGTTAAACTTGGATTCCCTATTGTGGCCCTGCCCTACCCCCGGGGGTCATGATTTGAACAATTTAGAATCTACACTACCCCAGGATGCTTCCACATAAGTTTCAGCTTTTCTGCCTCAGTGGTTCTTCAGAAGATTTTTAAAGATTTTCCCTATATATTTCAATGTAAAACTTGTATTTCCTATTGTGGCCCCGCCCTACCCCCGGGGGTCATGATTTGAACAATTTAGAATCTACACTACCCCAGGATGCTTCCACATAAGTTTCAGCTTTTCTGGCTCAGTGGTTCTTGAGAAGAAGATTTTTAAAGATTTTTCCTATATATTTCAATGTAAAACTTGTATTTCCTATTGTGGCCCCGCCCTACCCCCGGGGGTCATGATTTGAACAATTTAGAATCTACACTACCCCAGGATGCTTCCACATAAGTTTCAGCTTTTCTGGCTCAGTGGTTCTTCAGAAGATTTTTAAAGATTTTTCCTATATATTTCAATGTAAAACTTGAATTCCCTATTGTGGCCCCGCCCTACCCCCGGGGGTCAAGATTTGAACAATTTAGAATCTACACTACCCCAGGATGCTTCCACATAAGTTTCAGCTTTTCTGGTCCAGTGGTTCTTGAGAAGAAGATTTTTAAAGATTTTTCCTATATATTTCAATGTAAAACTTGAATTCCCTATTGTGGCCCCGCCCTACCCCCAGGGGTCATGATTTGAACAATTTAGAATCTACACTACCCCAGGATGCTTCCACATAAGTTTCAGCTTTTCTGGCTCAGTGGTTCTTGAGAAGAAGATTTTTTAAAGATTTTTCCTATATATTTCAATGTAAAACTTGTATTTCCTATTGTGGCCCCGCCCTACCCCCGGGGGTCATGATTTGAACAATTTAGAATCTACACTACCCCAGGATGCTTCCACATAAGTTTCAGGTTTTTTGGCTCAGTGGTTCTTGAGAAGAAGATTTTTAAAGATTTTTCCTATATATTTCAATGTAAAACTTGAATTCCCTATTGTGGCCCCGCCCTACCCCCGGGGGTCATGATTTTTACAATTTAGAATCTACACTACCCCAGGATGCTTCCACATAAGTTTCAGCTTTTCTGGCTCAGTGGTTCTTGAGAAGAAGATTTTTAAAGATTTTTCCTATATATTTCAATGTAAAACTTGGATTCCCTTTTGTGGCCCCGCCCTACCCCCGGGGGTCATGATTTTTACAATTTAGAATCTACACTACCCCAGGATGCTTCCACAAAAGTTTCAGCCTTTCTGGCTCAGTGGTTCTTGAGAAGAAGATTTTTAAAGATTTTTCCTATATATTTCAATGTAAAACTTGGATTCCCTATTGTGGCCCCGCCCTACCCCCGGGGGTCATGATTTTTACAATTTAGAATCTACACTATCCCAGGATGCTTCCACATAAGTTTCAGCTTTTCTGGCCCAGTGGTTCTTGAGAAGAAGATTTTTTAATGACCCCACCCTATTTTTGTCTTTTCTTGATTATCTCCCCTTGTAAGGGGACTTGGCCCTTTATTTTAACAATTTAAACTCCCCTTCCCCCAAGGATACTTTGTACCAAGTTTGGTTAAAATTGGCCCAGTGGTTCTTGAGAAGAAGTTGAAAATGTGAAAAGTTTACAGACGGACGGACGGACAGACGGACAGACGGACAGACGGACGGACGGACGACGGACAACGGGTGATCAGAAAAGCTCACTTGAGCTTTCAGCTCAGGTGAGCTAAAAACTACTGAATGATGTTTAATAAAACCTAGTAAACAATTATAACTTTGGGTAATGAATTTTTAGTAAAACTTTTATGTATGTCCAGTAGAAGCCCTGTCAAAGCAAGAAAAAAATAAGAAGTTCAATGTTAAATGCTTGAAAATGCACCATTTGTAGGACTTTTTACAAAAATACCAGCGACTTTTTACAAAAATACCTTGGGAGAGGACCCCTCTATGGAGGGGGACACCCTCTTCCATCCCCCCCTTCGACCTCACCCCCCCCCCCCCCCCCCCCATATGAATTTCTGGATCTGTCACTGGTTTTTGAATGTCAAACATGAGATACATGTCATGCAGTCAACAATCAAAGTACAGTTGGAAATGTCTAGTCAAAGGTAGTGCACAAGTGAATTATGAATCTCTTGTCTCTACTGGAACAAAAGGTAAATTTTGAACAGCAGGTCAAACTTAAAGGTCAAGGTTATGGTGTCAAAAATCATAGTACATTCAGAAATGTTTTGTCACAGAAAATGCACAAGTAAATAAAATATGAAAGCTCTATTTCCTCAAGTGCATAAGATTTGCTAAGGTTAAAATTTTTGAAAAGTAGGTCATGAGTTCAAACACCATAGCACATTATAAAAAAGGTGTTGTTATAGGTAAGTTCATGTGAATGAAATACGGAAACCTTATCTTTCTCTCACTCAAAAGTTATATTCCATATTTTTTTTAAAAAGTAGGTAAAACTTAAAGGTCAAGGTCATGAGGTCAAAAATTATAGTACATTGGAAAGGTTTCAGCACAGGTAATGCATAAGTAAAATATAAAAGTCCTAACTTCTCTCATTCAGAAGTTATGACCAGGATACCAGTTTTTGTGATTTGTGACAGACACCAGACAACAAGTGTTCACTGATCAGAAATACTTGTACTTGAAGGAACTATTCGTATCTATGTTATCATTTCTAACTAATACTTGTACAAAACAAAGAAAACTTTAAACCAACATCTTAAGGTTGTAAATGCAGATATCATGTGTGGATACCATGGTTCAATATGGACTGTATCTAAAGTTGTAAACTAAAAAGACATAAAACAGATCACCAACACTTTGTGAAAATGCAGTACATAGATAAATCTACTGCATTCTAAGGAAATGGTGGTGATCTGTTTTATGTTTTTAAGTCTTTTAATACAAGTATAATGTATGTATTTCTTTAGATTTCAAAAATATCAAACTCTATTCTTGTCCATTTTATTCCATTAAGAAGGAAATGAATATCGTTCATTCAAGTTCCTTCAATTGATCAGAAGTTTTGAGACAAATTCCATATGTTCTGGAGAAAAGGTCAAAATGTGGAAATTTAACAGAGTGACAACAGAAAGGCAAATGGAAAAACAAGTTCATAAAAAAAGCTCACTCGAGTCACTGATTGACATGAGCTACATGTAAAATATATAATATTCTTTTACTTGCCTCGTAATGTAACATAAAATTCTTCTCCTTTGCACCACTGGAAAAAAGAAATGAGAACAAGTTGTAGCCAAAGCTTTACTAATATTGACAATATTTCAAACAATTTTCTGGAGATAAATTTAGAATTCTTTTTAGTTTCAAATACACTATACACCACCTGTTATTCTTGTTTGTCAAACTAATTACACTTTGAAAGAAAAACATAAAGCAACACAGATATCGGCATTATTATAACCCTTACTTTCAAAAAACAAAGGTGAAATGAAGCAGATTTTTGAATGTCTGCCTAAATATGTTTTGCACTTGTAAATTTACAAATGATCTTTGAATACAAAGGCTTGGAAGCAAATTTTGAAAAGACAAGACAGATTTTGTAATAGTAAAATAGTGATTGATCTCAGTGAGTTATCTCTCTTATCAGAGGGTCAATGAACCTTAATATAACAACATTACCTGATGAGCTGTGCAACAGGATCAAACTTTAATGACATGTCTAAAGAATCGTAAGCCATGGTGCACAGAACCTAAAAAATAGATGAGAACAGTTTCAGAGTATATGTGTAATGTTTGACAGACAATTTTTAATTAGTCTATCAGTGGGTTATGTCGTATGAGAGAAGTCAAGTTCATGTATATCTGTACTACAACATTACAATGTGTAACTTATAAACATGTACAGTACTAAAACTGTATACATGTACTTTAGAAATACAGTAAAACTTGTTTAGTAGGAATAACAATATATCAAATTTTTGAATAAAGCAAAGTTTTTTTGGACCCAAGCAAATTCTTATCAATTCAAATCTAGTAAAATTTTACAAGTATGACAAACTCTGTTCAAATGAATTTACAGAAACAGAAACTGATTTTTTTGTGTCCCATAGAGGATAGAAATTAAAAATAAATTGGCATCTTTTAAATGAAAGTTTTAAGATCTTAAAATTTTAAATACTGAACTGATATTGCTTTTTCTAATTTGAAATTTAATTCAAGGGAAAACTTTTGTACCTAATGGTAAGTTTTATATTTAATACTTCCCTGAAAATATATTTGGTAGTCATATTTGAAAAAAAATATTGCAAAAAACTGTAAATGATAGTATTGTTCTGCCACCTACCTCCAAGTCAAATTTCAAAAGTTAACATATTTGAATAATTTTTCATATTTATATAGATATTTATGTAAATTTTCATAAAAAATAACTCATTTGGGAAAACAAAGAGAGATAACTCTTTAATTTTGGTAAAAATTGCATTTTTTCACTATAGAAATCAACAGAAAATGGACATTATTTTTAAAACTTCTCCCCCCCCCACCCTTCTGAAAAGAGTTGTAAATAAGAGCAACTAAGTTTTAGACAGTGGTTTAAAAATTATTAATCAATTATTAATGCACTCTTCTTTGCATTCAGTCAAGTTTTAATGGCAGAAGTGCCATTTATATTGAATTAAATTGGTGTAAAATGTTGGCGGGAATCGAGAGTTAGCTTGCGTGGTTCTCTGCTACAATGCTCATAATGAATTTGTTAAACAGATGTAACAAACTTCATTGTAGGAATGTCTATCTCATAAAAATATCGCTGGAAAAAAGATGAGAGAAGAAAGGGACCCTTTCTGCTAATAATTTCTATAGATCACATATTGTATTGTGGTTTTTCTTTCTGACCTGTGTTTGACCTCTCTGGAAAAGAGAGGATCCATGCAAGGGTTTGAGTACGTCTACACTACAGGAAATGTTTCTGAGCTGTGTTAAACTTCTGCCATCACACCTGGTCAGGTTGTAAACAAAGATGTTATACATAAGCATAATTACAATTAATAGTAAACATTGCACAGTCAAACCTTATTATTTCAAACTTGATTGGGCAGAGAAAAAAGCTTCAATTATATCTAGGAATTCAAGATATTGTGGTTGAATTATGGTACCTAAAGAACAAGAGGCCAATGGACCACAATGCTCATCTGAGTTACTATATATAGCCCTTTTGTTCTTCATCAGCAGATTTTTTCCTATACAGTGGATTTTCGGTATCTGGAACACTAATATCTCCAAAACCATGGATGTGTCAAAGTGATTTGGAAGTCCCAACCATTTATTCTTTAAGTATTTTACCCTTTGTATCTCGAATCCTTAGATATCTCAAAGTTTTTCCATGGTTCCATCGAGTACGAGATAACTAGGTTTGAGTGTATATTCAAATGTAAAACTTAGATTACATATTGTGGCCCCACCCTACCCTATGGGGTCATGATTTGAAGAAACTTTTATCTACACTACCTGAGGATATTTCCATATAAATACAACTAAACACAACTTTACTTTTCTTGAGTAGAAGATATTTACGAGGGTTGTCCGGTAAAATCGTGGACAAAGCGTTTTTCTCGAAAAATAATGGGCGCACTAAGCTGAAATTTTCAGCAAATGTTTATTCATCATATTTAAGTGCATCTTTATTTTTTTTATGAAATATAGATTAAAATAAAGATTTTATTAAGCTTGAATGTGCACAGGGTACGGCCCTACGGCGCATGATCAAAATACCAGGGTTTCATTAGCAAATTCAGGAGTATTATTTCAAAATAAAGGTATCAGGGAGATAAAGTTGGGGTAAAAATTATCCCATTTTTAATCCACTTTCTATTATTTCGACTTCTGTAAAATATCAAGGCATTTGCTTAATTTTTGGCAGCTTCCCGAGCATTTGAAATGGGAAAGTGGTAAACGCAACACATGAAAAATGGCGACGTTTGGTGACGTTACGGCACACCGGAGAGCAGTTCATTTTGATTTAGGTGCAGTAATGATGCCCTTAGAAACTTTAAATGACTACAGAAGAAAAAAATATATAAAAATATCACTAGATCTTTAGTATACAAGTGAAATGGGAGTTTTCAAAGTGGAAGCTTTTGATCGGGTACCCGGGCAGAACAAAACATACAGACAAACAGCTACTGGCAATAGCAAAACACGCTGTAACTGTAGACCGTCGATATAAAATAGCCTATTAAGTTGAATGATAGTGAGAGTACTGTCCATAACTAATAATTCTTCAGAAGTAACTAATAAATCTTCAGAAGGTCCCATGTGTGTGCGAGATTGGTTCCTCAACTGTTTGGGGGGAAATAAAGGGAAAATCAAGTATGTGCTTCAATGAAATCCCCTAATTTAAGTGGGGCTTATCCAACTTTTATTTAGCAAAGAGGAAACGTGACGCTGCTTTAGACACTTTGATGTTATCATCCGTGCGCCGTAAGTTGATACCATACATAACATAAAGTCTCATATTTTTATTATTTGAGCAGAGATCTATTTGAAATTTGCTACGTATATTAAGGAAAAATGTACTAAAAAGTAGTGAAAGTTTTAGAATGGATTGATGATTATTTTTCAATCTAGACAACTTGTCCAAGATTTTACCGGACAATCCTCGTATATAGATTTATACTCTTTTCCATTATATTCCTATATAAAACTTTGATTTCCCATTTAGGCCCCACCCAACCCCAGGGGCTATGATTTAAACAAAGCTGAATCTACATTACCTGAAGATGCTTCCACATTTTCCTATAGAAAACTTTGATCACCATTAGTGGCCCTATCCTTCCCCTGGGGGTCTTGATTTGAAAAAAATTGAATCTTCACTATTTCAGAAAACTTTCACATAAGTTTCATATTTTCTGGCCCATTGGTTCTTGAGAAGTAGATATTCAAATGACCTCATCCAATTTTCATTATTTCTTAATTATCTCCCCTTGGAAGAGGGTATGGCTCTTCATTTGAACAAAGGACTATATATGATTAGAGTCAATTTTGGCCCCCCATATATTAACATTTTTTAAAAGTGATTCAGGTATGTAAAATTGCTTTTTATTTGTAGAAGAGTTTATTATAGAAATATTTTCAATATATTTTTCTCATTTATCCATGGTATTTAAGATTTTGATTTTCAATATATAGAAGTTAAAATGGATTGAAAAACTGTTTAAACAAAATACCTTTTCCCCATAGTAAAGATACTCTCCCTGAAGACTTGTTTAATACACCTCTGTATGTACTGATTTAAATCATCTTCTGTCATGGATGGATAAAGATCTACAACAGAGAAAAATTAAATGGTTTTAACTCTAAAACTGACAAAGCAAAGTCAATAATTATCTGAAACATATTTAAATATTTTGCATGATGGGCATATTTGGTAAGAGAGTGTGTCTCTTCATTTGAACAAATTCTAATCCCCTGCTTTGTGGAACACTGACATTTTGAATTGTTAATATTCTCTATTAAGCTGAGATAATTCTGACTATCTGACCCACCTTTTAATTCATTCATAACACCACTGACAATAAGCTTCACAGCTGAATCTCTTGAAAACTAAAAAAAAAAACCAAAATAAATGTGTACAATTCAAATGTAAAACTTATCTAAGTACAAATGTTTTTCTATATACTTTTACATGTACATGTAGATCTGAATCACATTTTTTATGACTTTTAAACTTATCAGATATTCCAGACCACTAAAGTTTTTTGCATTGCTCAATCGAATATGTGTGTAACTATAAAAAATATTACATGATTTTAGGATAACGTGAAATTGCCATCCTGCAAAAACCATTGTTGACAGAGGTTTTCATGGGTTAATAATTTCACATGTTACCCTAAAAAACATGCAATATATTTTTTGTTATACTGAATGTATTTAGAATGCATTTAAAGGAAAACATCAATGTGAACCATATGCACAAACATTCTGCACAGTTAACAACTTTTATACTGTTACCTGCCGTCACGCATTTTCAACCGTTGAAAGGTAACGTTACCTGGAGAGCATGATAAATCCCAAGTCGGGTAATAGTACTTTATAACAAATGTTTTTAAATAACTCAAATTTGACCAAATAAAAAACAATATAACTGTGCATACTTCCTATGGATCAACATCTAATAACATCATTATTTTCAGAATTTCTAAGTAGTCTCTCTTGTGAGAGTTTACTATCTACAGACATGTAATTAATGATTAAATTTCAATTAAAATTGACCCAATTAAAAATGGCCTTCAAATAAACTTATAAATTTCCATCTCCTGTTTAAAGATTGGGTGTTTTTCACAAAAAATTCATGCTACCTTATCATGATTGTAATCTGTAAACACCGCTTTCAACTTTGTATTGCACAACCTAAAAAATACAAAAAAGTTTGTTTAAATAGTGTCTTTCAAAAGCACAGCCAAGTAGAGACAATTTCTTCTAGTACATTTGTAAATGTGGTAATTTTTCTGCAAAATAAACTCTATTTTCTAAATTGTTTTTAAGATTTCCCTGTGAAAAATTCTTCGCAAAATAGATAAAAATGGCTGCTTTTAAAATATGGGAGAAAAACACTGATAAGTTTTCAACTCTCTCTCTTTATGAACCCTGCAATGAATACCTGTACACAGCATCTTGAATTTCTGTATCCTGAAATCTTGGAGGCAGACGTTTAGGAATATACTTATTTTCACTGGCTGATTTTCTCAGATCCTCAATACTTTCAATGATACTAAAAGACTCTTCGTAACCAACCTTAATGGCTTCCTTAAACAAATCGTAATCTACAGCATTGGCTCCTCCCTCCAGCATAACTATCAAAATTTATATCATTTAAAATTTTCTATCCACAATAATGTTAATTAAAACACACCAAAAACACTTTTAAATGTTTAAGAATGATATACAGTTCACTAGCAAGTAGTGGCATCTCGATATGAGAGAAAAATTCTCAAAAGGGATGAGAAACAAATAAACATTCCTTGCTTACCAGATGTTACCTTGAAGTCCATACCTTTAGACAATGTCTGTATTGTTCAGTGTCATTATAAGAGTGTTAACCTATTCATTGTTTAATTACTGGATATTTTTGCACCTAAATGTCATTATAAATGTGTTTACATATTCCTCATTTACTTAATGTAGACATGAGGTCCCTAGCTAAGGATTGTGTTGTTTATTGTTATTGTGAGAATGTTTACTGTTTACCTATTTATTGTTTACTGGATTAGAGATGAGGTCCCTAGCTAAGGATTGTGTTGTTTATTGTTATTGTGAGAGTGTTTACTGTTTACCTATTTATTGTTTACTGGATTAGAGATGAGGTCCCTAACTAAGGTTTCTGTTGGTTTTGTCATTGTATTTAACAGTACTTATTCCTTGTTTACTGGATGTTGACATGAGGTCCCTATCTAATGTTTCTGTAGCTAAATGTCCCTGCTTACTGGGATTAGATATGAGGTCTCCAGCTAAGGTTTTTATTGTTGAATGTCGTTATAGGATGTTTACCTATTCCTTGTTTACTGGATGTAACCACTAGGTTAATTTTACTCTGCTCCAGCTCACGGCGAAGTGGATTTATTACAAATTTATCATCTACATATCCAACCCTGACAGCTCCTACAAGAAAGAAGACATAAATGTATACCAAGTACTAAAAAAAAATTGAAATATAAGAATCTGAATGACCTTGACCTTGGAGATACAACAAAAGTATAGTGGCAACACAAGTGACAATAGGGTACACTTCTGGAATTTTATGTACATGCCCATTTTAAATGTCACAAGATGGGAAAAAAAGAACAAAAAGTCAAATTGATCTGTTAGGACTTTAAAAAACAAATCCAATACACCCTTGACCTTAAAAATAATCTTAAGAGAAATAATTCAGTAAACCAAGGTATTAATAAGCACTGTTTAAAGTATGATAAGTAATACTACATTAATTATAAAAATCTGACCTCAAAAAAAAATAAATGCATTGACAATCTACCTATATAAATATATGTGTACACTATGATTTTCCAGCATACAGAAGAATTAGTTGATAAATACATAAAAAGGACAACAACAGACCTACAGGACCGTTCCATTGATACTGTACAGAAGACACGGCTATGGCAGCTGATGCTGTATACAATAAAAAGAAATATACAATAAAAATTAAATATACAATAAAATGAAATATACGATAAAATAAAAATAATTAGATATTCTCACATCCCCAAAATTAAAATATTCCTTAACAGTTCAAAGAATTAGATGCAAGTTGAACATGTTATAGCTTTTTACTTTTACATCATTTATATACATTAATTTGTATTTGATTGAAGAAAATATGAATGATGTACATGTACCTGCATTGATACTGAGAATTGCGGGATCATTTTCTCCATCAACTGCTAATACATTGCAACACACCTAGAGAAGGATTGTGAACATTAGGCATAAAATAAATAAAATTCAGGCCGAAAAAAAATAATATCCAGAAATTATTCTTTATCATGTTTATCAATCAAAAAACATATACTTAAAAAAATTTCAAATTATAAACAATATGCACCTGAATTTCCCTGCTGCTTTCATCTGGAAAAAGAGGTCTTATTGATCGATCTGCAAAATTAAAATTGTTAATGAGTGCTTTGAACCTTTCACACCAAAATTTATCTTTTATTTTTTCAATCTAATCAACAACTTTTTTATGATGTTCATATGTCTTTATCTACCTATAACACGACTTGTGAGGATTTCACTCTCTGAAGGACCCCGTTCTCGACGGAAATAGTTCATAGGAATCCTCCCTGCTGCTGCTGCTTTCAGTCTGTAATCAACCTGCAATGTACAAGCATCATATAGCAAGTTAAGACCCTGTTGAAGTCTCTAACTAAAACTATTTCTCTAGACAAAATTCAAGTCATAAAAACTACTTTTCTGTATCTGGTTGCAGTTGATTGGATGAACATGACATATGCATAACAGTAAAATTGACGATGCCCTTTTTTATTTATTTATACACATTCAGTATAAAAATCTATGTGTAGCTAACATTTGTTTGTAAGTATATTTGCTGTAACATCTACCAAGAAACCCAAAATGCATCTCATATATCTACACTGTAATGTACATGCTGTAAACATTATACATGTACATGACATGTAAGCAGAATTAATCCTCACCTTATATTTCATAGAGAAAAAAAATATGGAAGATTTAGAAAAATAGCAAACTCTCATCCCCCTTGAATGCAAAAACTGAGTGAAAATTTTCAGAGATTTATATGCATTAAGTTTTGTTTTTAAGATTTTAGTTTAACTTTAAACATTAGTATGTAACAATATCGAAAAAAAAAATCAATCTTATGTATGTTATAATAGTGACATAACTGGCAGAGAGTCACTTACAGTGAGAGGAAGAAATGAAGATGGCTGGGATAGAGTTTTTGTCACTGCTGTTACAAGAACACTGGTTTCTCCTTGCTGAAACAAAATAAGAATAAACTGTCTGTAATGCAGAAAGTCTGATCAACAATGAAAACTCTCATTTAATGAGAATTTATAGAATACCTTTATAACTGCTGCACCATCTGCAAATTTGGCCAGTTTCCCTGTTTCTATGGTAAGTGTTCTGAACAATAGAAAAGAAAGAAATTGTTTGTTGTATTGTCATTCATGTTCAATTGTTCAAGAAATAATGTCACTCACATCACTGCCTAGTGCCTAGATTTCTGACCTTCAGCCTTTTGATGGACTAAGTATTATTTAAAAAATGGATTTGATTCAAAGTTTAGAAATTTAACTACGTACTTATTCATTGATTAAATTTAATACTGTAGTGAAATTGCATATGTAAATATATTCCCTATGACCTTTCATCCTGACCTCATAGCCACCCACCAGTGCCAGCATGCTTCCCAAGTCAGTTGAGTCCCGTCATCACCTTATACTAAGGTAGGCAACATTATAAAAGTAAAATCCACTATATTTTACTTCAATACTGTTGCACTCTCTACTGTGCGAGATCTCCAATGAGCATGATAATGAGTTATTCTGTGTAAGTTGACTTCTCATTCATTTATGTAAATATCACAATTTATAAAGGCATTATCCTGTTATTCGCTCCGCGGGGTGAATAATATTTGACGTTATGTCAAATGAAAACCATTGGTCGATGTGAGGTCAGTATTTGAGAGTTTTATAGGTGGAGGTGCTACTTAATACAGGAAACGGAAATCAAGAGTTCAGGACTGAATCTATATGTAGCCTACAAAATAAACATACAAATTTCAAGCGTTGTTTTATGTGTTATCTTCACAATATAAAATAAAAAATTTATAAATGAAATTTGAAAGTTTGCCTGTGTGCATAAACATTTTATGCAAGGACAAAGGGCCATACTTATTCACACCGGTGCGAATAACAGGAGTATATATATACCAACGATCTTTCCATTTTCAAACTAAAATGCTCTGGAAAGGGAAGATTTCCTGGGAAAAGGGTTTCTTTGGGGGAGAGTATATAAAAAATGGGGCTTGGAGTTTTTTGGGGGATATTCACTCTAAAATTGGCATTTTCTGAAAGGACATAGGGCCATTAGATACTTATTCGCACCGGTGTGAATAACAGAAATTATATACAGACAATCTTAATTTCCATTTTCAAGCTGAAATTCTCTGGATTTTGGGGGGATATTCATTGTGAAAAAGGCATATTTGGATGAAAATAGAGTTATACTTAATCGCACTGGTGCAAATGAACAGAGGTAGATTTTTTACAAATGCCATTCTCAATTGTTTAACAGTGTTAACTGAACCATAGGTGAACGCTATTCATGCATCTGTTAGTCATTGTTCCTATTGTTAGGAGTAAATGTGAAAGCGTATTTTTCTTTAATTGTTGTTATGGCATTGGATTCAAAGGTCAGATACAGTAAAGAGCGAAGAAATGATATCATGTATGTACAGAGATGTATTCCTTGTTTAAATGATATTATGTGGTTTGTAAATTCACATAAATATACAGGACTGTGTCTCTGCAAACGCATGGCTTCCTTACCTAATAGAAATTATAATTGAAATGGCATGAAAATAGGTTTATTCCGTTACAGGTGTATAAATAAACATAAAATATATTATACAGTTGAGTACATGATTAATTTCCTCAGTTTTAAATTAACGTGTAAACAAACAATAGATAAAACATGAAGATAATTATGGTTTATTCCCTAATAAAACAAGCATGAAAATATAATATATTTCACTTTATTCCCTGATAAATGAATGAACATGAAATTATTAATGAAAATAGGGTTTATTCCGTTACATTGTACAGAGAGTAACTTGATGAAATTTATTTCCTCTCACAAAAGAAATAAAGAAAATCACGGAATAAACGCTCTATATTATCTCACATTTAAAATTTCACTCAGTACTGAAATTTAATCGGGGTTAAAAAGAATTCCGACGAAATAAACGCTAATTTCTTAAAATATATATTCTTTCAAAGGGAAGTTTAAAATACGAAAAACATCATTTATTTGGGGTTTAAGAATATATGATAATCAAAGAAAAAATTACGACAGAATAAAGGCTAATTTCTTGAAATATATATTCTTTCAAAGGCAAGTATAAAATACAAAAAAGTCATTTAATCGGGGTTTTAGAATATAAATGATAATCAAAGAAAAAATTACGACGGAATAAAGGCTAATTTCTTAAAATATATATTCTTTCAAAGGCAAGTAGAAAAACATAACGTCAACAACGTCAAATATTATTCACTCCGCGGAGCAAATAACAGGATAATGCCTTTATAAAAACAAATTCAGCAAAAATTAACGTTAATTGCTTTAGCCTATTGCCTTATATACCATTCGTTATCATCAGCCAGAATTTTCTCTAAGAATTATTACCTGTTTCCAAGATTCACGGTTGACGCAGCTGATTGAAATCGTTTGATCACGTCCCACCGCTTGTATTTCAGCCATGTCTTTGATGGCATTTGAATTAATTTTGACATCGTTTTTATATGTAAGCTCTTTTTGATATTTTCATCATTTTTCACGCTGATGGCCAAAACACAAGGGCGCAGACATTTTGAAAAAAAGATAGCTTGAACATGATGTAATTCGAGTTATATTTATCTCACAATTTAGTCGGGTTTTCTACTTCCTTGATAAATGCTGTTTTTTATTTTCATATTTTAGTTATATTCTTCGATGTGTTATTTAAAAATATATAAAAAAGTATTTTTTTTTACCTTTATATAAATATACGAATAGATCAATCATTCAAATAACAAGAATTTGGAAAGCGCGCGAATTTTGTCTGCAGTATTTTTCATAGTATTTTGACATTGTGGACAAGCCTTATTTTGAGGTAAAATATGGTACAGCATGGTAAAATAATTGCAAAATACACAATTTAGCATTTGTTACCATTATCTATACCAAGATTATGTTACATTTATAAACTAAAGTCGTCTGCTAAACGTTGATACTGTGTGTTTTGAGTTCTATTCTTCATGTTGCATGTTGTCTGACTTTGAGACCCATTTTTTCTCCTTAATCCATTTGTCATTTTTAATACTAATAGTAGTTCACAATCTATAATTTTTCACGATATATATGTATAACTTGATGAAATTTATTTGTGTATTGCCATAGGCTTTGAAGAAAGGATTACCTATAGAAACTCAAAACAGGATTTGGATACTGTAAATCATGTTAATTTCTTATGTTTTATTTCCCCATAAATGTTAGTACATAAGTCTTTATTCATGTCATCATTCATTTTACCACCTGTAACTCTTCAGAAAAAATGCCATGGGATATTGTCAGTTCAGATTTTGGGGGAGAAGAAACGGTCAACTTTGGGCCGCGGGAGGAGTCAGGGTCAGCACTGTACCAGATTGATACCCTGGCTACAATATCATCACAAGAAAAGGTTAGACATGTAGAAGTGATGACTAGTTTTACTTTTAGTGCAGAACAGAGGAGCTCGACACAATTTATTTTGTCTCCTTACTTTTGATCACTCTAAAAATAGAAATGCATGTTTTTATTGGTAGTTGTGGTAAAAAAGTATGTGCCTAGCCCCTGAAAGTAGAAAGCAGGTCTGTCAATTCTACTAAAATTTTAAGAGATCTTTTACAAATCTTAGATGATCAATACTTTGCTTATATCCCATGTCACAAGGCAAGTGAAGATATGTAAAGAAAACTTTCCATTGAGTTTGTTTGTTAGAGTCACCAGATAGTTAATTAGTTATAATTTCTGATGGTAGAATGTCATATTCTGTATTGATGTTACTTATGTTGTACTTAAATTTGAATGGTCAATCTCAGAACTAAAGATATTTTACACTCTTGCCAACAAGAATCCAGTCATTTACATCATTTGTTGGATTCACTTTCAGGTATAATATTTTGTATATTTGTAGGAAACAGGAGTTCCCCATATTGTGAGTTCAATGAGAGGAGAATTAGCTTGCCTGTCTGTAGACAGACATGTCTCTGTGTTCACTGATTGTCAACACACCACCACTCTGGCTTATGGTGAGTTAAGATTGCCTGTCAGTATAAATTGTTTGTGATACTGCTACTATACTTAATCTTCAATATGCAGTCAAGGTAATTCAGGGTTTCAGATAGCAAAAACAAATAACTTCCTCACTGCACTGCCCATTAGTTCTCCATTTTGACTTTGAAAATCACCACCTACATTTATATTATTCTTTGCTCAGAAATATTAAAAAAGAATGACTAGATGTCAAAATGTTATGACCAAATGTTGATTAGGAAAGTATCCATGTTATATAAAGGAAAGGATCCAAAGTGGAAAGTTCGTTAACAGTTCAAAATCATAGGTACAAACAAAATCAAATTTTCTAAGAATTTAAATTTTTTTTTAAATCTGTCAGAGATTTATGTATCACAATAGATCTCCCAATAAATATTCACAATTTTTTTAAAGATCCCTTTTCCACACTTGAAATTTTCTTATAAAGTGCTGTTTTTTTTTTTTTTTTAATATTAATATTACAAGACTTAACTTTAATTACAAGTCTAATGTGATGTACACATAGATGCTGTTATAGAAGAAATGGCCCTGAGTGAAGATGGGGAGCTGATGATTCTGGGGGATTCTTCAGGGAGGCTTCATATTCTGGACACTGAGGCCTGTAAAATGATCTTCTCTCATGTGTGTACAAACTCTTTCCATCTTGCTTGCATGTTTAATGACAAATTAAATAAAGTTAATTTGACCAACCAATATCCCTGACATTAGGTATTAAAAGTACATGTATGAACTGTTATATGAAAAGCATCATTGTGTAGATTTACCTAAATAAGGCTCCAGGTCTTATTTCATTATAAATATGATAAATGGTCGAACCTTGTCACATGTATCTGGAACTCGTTGGGACCCAGAAAAAACTTTGAGTTATCCGATGATTCAAGATATCAAGGGTAGAATGCTTAAAGAATTAGAAGTTAGGATTTCCAAATCTTTTTGATATATCCATGGTATTCAAGATATCAGTGTTCGAGATAACCAAAGTGCAAATGTGTATGAATTATTTATTTTTGCGTCATTTAAACAGTCAGAGATCATTTAAAACATGCTTTAAAAAAAAACAAAAAAAAAGTTTTCAAAGAAAAATTTAAACATTCAAATGCTATAATTTAAAAAATGTATGAAAAACGGGTTTGGGATGTGTGTAATTAAACCATTTTGCTATAATTTAGATAAAGTAAATAGGCAGATTTGGAATACTGGAAACATTTTTTCCTATCTAAAACTTAAAAGTCTTATCCTTTCATGTCCTTGTAGATTGTTACACCACCTAACAGAGTGGGGAAAACATTTAGTCGGATCAAATGTTTTGACGCAGAAGAAGGTAATGTGGTATTTGTCTTTAGCGTACATTTATGTGAAATAATGTGAAAAAGTTCAATCCTCTTGTGATTTACAGTTTCAAATCTGTGTCTCCCCATAACTGTAAGGCATTGCTTCTGATTCATAGGAACAATATGTGAGATCTGTGTTTTTTTAGAATTAGAGTATGTTGTTTTTAAATGGAATAGATATACTTGCATTTCTATTTTGTTTCTCCATTTTAAAAATACATGTATTTTACTTCAGTTTAATGATTTGAATTAGATTAAATTTCTTAATATTGAATGAAGCACCTGTGTTTGTAGACATGGGCTCAAGCTCTGTTATTGTTTATGTTTACAGTTTACCAGGTGTGTTTGATTTGCTAACATTGCACACATCACTGAACACAACCTGACAGCACTTGTGTGTTGGTTTTGCTTTCTTACATTTCTGTTGTGACTTTTCCTGATTAACGTTTTAATATCTTTTGTGAATACTGCACAGATTTCTGATTTTATTGATATGTGAAGGATAAATTTTTGTTTGTGAAAGTACAGGAAAGTAGGACACTCAAACATGCCTGAAAATAATAATTTTGATAATTTTCAGCTATAAGGAGTTTCTAAACAAGTTTTTATAAAATATCAGTTTGAAATGCTTTGGCAACATGTACATATACATGTAGCTGCAAGTCATGAAATTTTACTGAAGACATAAACTTCATTACATTAACTTCATTACATGTATGTACTTGATGTTAAGTTGCCTATTGCTTTTTCAGGTTTGTACAATTTATTTGTGCTGGCAGTCAGTGGAGAACCGAAGATCTTGAAGAGTTTTAACAAGGAAACATTTTTGGCTGGAGGGGGTAAGGTCCTTTATCTATTTTACATGTCTGTCTATGGTTAAATGGGCAGAAGTAGAAGATAACACGTAATTTTAATAAAATAAAGCAAGTCTGGTTTGATTATCAAATCTTTGGAATGTTGCATAAATTTACAGGTTTTATTATTATTTCTTTTGTGTTCATGTTTTGAATCCCATCGTTTGTTTCTAATGAATACAATATAGTATACAGCCTCAGTATTACATGTATATATCTGCAAGCATCTGTAATATTGTAAATATCTGTAAGCTTGTTGTTCATTAAAGGCATGTATTTTGTAAGCTTTAGTATCATACAAATATCTGAGAGCCTTAGTATCATACATATACTTGTACAACTATATATTAAGTCTTGGAAGTATATACATGTATCTATGACTTTTTCAGATGGGATTCGTACCGTGCTGAAAGAGAAACTTATCTCGACCAACGTTAGTCAGGTCCATTCCTCAGTAACTGACTTGCTGTGTTTGGATGACAGCTTCATTACTATGGTAATGAGTAAACAGTGTTCAAATTTTACTTTTTACAAAAGCAACAGTGTTCAGTCTCTGAAATCCTTTAAACAAAAATTTATAAAGATAGTTTTCCTTGTGTACATTTTTAATAGTAAATATATAAGCATTAAGACTACTCCCAATAAGTATTTTTTGTCAGAATTTTTATTATAGATTTTTCTGCTTGATTTGATTTATAGGTACCTACATTGAACGTGTATGTAATTATGCTACAATGTACAAATCATGACTTGTTATTTGATGCAAGATTAACTGATGTTGAAAATCATTGCTTCTTGTAGTGTTTTCTACATGTGCTTCTTTGGAGGCTAAATTATCAAGAATACTAAGTTTGATTATAAAAAAAAGATGACTTGTTTTATTATAGGGGATTGGAGATGGAATTCTGGGAGTTTGGGAATGGGAAGGCAGGGAAGCAGTACTGGATGAGGAAGTTGGAGATTACTTAATCTCAGGTAAAAGTAGGAGATTACTTAATCTCAGGTAAAAGTTAAAGAAAATTTAATCTCAGGTAAAAGTTGGAGATTACCTAATCTCAGGTAAAAGTAAGAGATTACTTAATCTCAGGTAAAAGTTGGAGATAACCTAATCTCAGGTAAAAGTTGGAGATTACCTAATCTCAGGTAAAAGTTGGAGATTACCTAATCTCAGGTAAAAGTTGGAGATTACTTAATCTCAGGTAAAAGTTGGAGATTACTTAATCTCAGGTAAAAGTTTGAAATTTATTTTATATCAGGTAAAAATTGAAGAATAATTAAACTCGATTAAAAGTTGGGGATTTCTAATTTTAACATTGG